GCTCTTTAAGAGAGTTGAAAAAATCATTACTTATTTCAGAAGGTTAACTCTTTTGTAATGAGGCGATTTGGCGAGTATGTGCCCTTCGTCGGAAGTTTTTAATACTACCTTTGATCGAAAAATTATGTATAGTCATATGTGACCATATCAGACATAATATAGGGTTTTAAGACATATTAGGATACATCAAGCCAAAAAATTAAAAATAAGTTAGTTGAACCGATCTTTTTCTTACATGCGCACTATTGATAATATTACACGGAGTGAAAAATATCTTCAGATTGACTATTCGTACACGCATAAAAATTATTATGTTAGGACAACAAAAACAGGGATAACAAAAAAATATGCTGTGATAACAAATGAATTTACTTAGAATAACAAATCAACTAGTTCATTTAACAAGATCTACAAGATCAACTAAGTTGTAATAACAAATGAGTTTTTACTGCTCTGAAGTTAATTTTGTTGTCTTAACAAAATCGCTTTGTTATTATAATAAATTTTTTTGTTGCAATAACAAAATAGTTTTCTTATCAATAAAATTTGTTAATTGAACAAGCTATTCCGTTTCTCTAACAAATCGATTTGTTACTTCAACAAAACTATTTTTTTTAAATAATTGAAACGATTTGGTTACAATAACAAAATAATTTTATTGAGTGAACATATGAATTACTTATTATAACCTATGTGTTTATTAACACAACATATTATTTGTTATCCCTATATCAACATAACAATTTGTTGTCACAACTTATTTTTTGTTGTTCTATATAACAAAAAATTTTTCTGCGTGTAGAGTTATTTGAAACAAAGATGCATCGTGTGGTCATCGTAAGGATTTGTTGTTAACTTAGCTATACGAGGGATAGCTGTTGACCACCGAATCTTGAGAGTATGCGCAAACGAAACCTTAAAGATTAAATAGTCACAATACAATTTCTTTTGACGCCTGGAATGAGGATACTCCGCATAGCTAAATTGACTATAAAGTAAAAGCCCCAATAGATGATCACGTACCAGTATATGATCATCTATTGGGGCTTTTACCTTACGGCGTACAGTTAACTTAAGGTAGTTGTAGCGTGAAAGGCATTTCAACAGAAAGTTATGAAATTTTTTTTATCGAAAGATAAATATATTAATAATTCACTACCAAAATTTCAGATCAATTGACCGTACTGTTTTCGAGTAATTAATTTTCGAAATCGCATCTTTTACACGTAGAGGAATAGAGAGATCGTAAAGATAGTATGAAATCT